TCAAGACAACAAAAATGTATATCATCTTAAATTTGAATTTTCTTAACTCGAGACTCGAAACTCATAAAAATGTACAATACCTAGGCCTATCTGTCTATATGATATGTATCTGGGCCCACCCGTCTATCTAATATTACCCGACATCGGCCCACCCATCTATGTAGAATTCCCCACGTCAGCCCACCCGTCTATCTAATATGACCCCACGTCAGCCCACCCGTCTATCTAATAAATAATTCCGCTCACCCTCGGCCCACCCGTCTATCTGATATTACCCCACGTCGGCCCACCTGTCTATCTAATAAATATTTCACCGCTCCCTCGGCCCATCCGTCTACAAAATAATACTAATACATCGGCCCACACGTCTATATAATACTATTTGCTATACATCTCTCCTCAGGTCTATAATATATGTCAATCCTACTCTACATATTACCCACATGGGCCCACCCATCTCCATAATAATATTTCTCCCGGCCCATCTGCTATCGTCGATGATATATATAACATCAGCATAGATGGGCCCACCCATCTCCATCGGAAATAATATGCCTCCCAGCCCACCCGTCAACATCGGGAATATACATAACATCGGCCCATAATCCGCTGGCCCGTATTACACGGGATATTATGTAGGTCAGGTGACCCGTATAATACGGGATTTGTCACTGAAGGGGCTCCCAAGCCACATCACCCATAGCCTTTGTGAAAGAAACAAGATCAGCGTTGTCAACAATAGCCTCACACCAGCACGCAAGGCTGACAGAGACCATGAAAAAGCCCTTTTTCCCTCCGTGGTGAAGACACAACCAATCCCCCACAGCACGTCTGTCCTCTTGGACGAGTGCCTCCTTGTTGCGCCAATCTGGTTGGCAGGAGGCCCACCACACGAACCACTGCTGAGCATAACTGGGAGTGTCAGTCACTGACACCAAGGGGCGTTTCATGGGGCGACCACTCTTTATCCATACTCCAACCTCGCGGGGTCGTTGTTGTAGTGCTTTCGTCCAACTCTAATTCATCACCTGCTGTCTTACCACGATGCACGCTGAAGGTATTGCTGATCAGCACCGAACAACTATCAAGACATATAAATACATACAACCAACTTGTGATCTGGCCGCCTAGACGTGGCTGAGGACCTCCGATGAGGATGGCAACCGCGCAACCAGTCTTCATATATATTTGGTTAGCAGCTGCATCAAGTGTCTTGAGCAAGGAGTCCATTGCGCTGTGAGTTCATGAATACATTTTTTCTGTGCAGATAGAGTGTGATCTTACCCTTGGATACCAGAAAGGCATTCACTATCGTGCTCTCCATCAGCAGCTTCATGCTCGTTGACCAGTGACTGTTTTCTGAACTGCTCGACCTCTGCTTTGACCTCTGGTGTCGCCTCTCGAAGAAGCTCATTGAAATGATTTTTCTGCCACTCAAGGAACCTTGTTGGACTATCCCTCTCGATGGTCGGAACAAAAGCTTGCACGTAAGCGCCATATTCCTTCTCCATCTCCGTCTTGAATTCTCCTTTGTAATAGAGGCAAGAGTATGCTTGCCATGGCAGGAAGCTGGCCCTTGTGTTTGCCAGCAAGGTCGAGAAGTTTTTGTGACCCTGTACCACTCGTTATGCCATGTGAATGGTTAAAATACCAGTGGTAGATCTGCTACACGGGGAATCAAAAAGGACTGCAAGTGTGCATACAAATTTGCTTACCTTCTCTTTCTTCTTTCTATCATTCGAGTCAATGTCCTCAGCGCTAATATGGGCGTCTACCGGCTTGGCTTCGGTACAAGGAGTGAGCGGATAGGTGGCGAACCACTCTTTGTAAGTGTCCTTCCAGAAGATCTGGTGTGCCTTTGCGTTTGTAGTAGCGAGGAACGAGGACAGTCTTGACTCTAACCATACGACTTGTTCCTTTGTCGCCCAAGCTGGTTGACCCATGGTGGACAATAGAATTTTGAAACTGGGGGGATTTTTTGAAAAATAGGCTCTTTTTAAACGCTCCGCATTCGCGTGAAGTTATATAGTAAGCCTATTTTTGTATCTAATATGCAAGGGTCTGACATGATGTGATAATGTGACTTCGGCCAGGTACACTTTACCTACAAAAAAACGCTGTTCATGGATGTTGTTGTTGTCGAGTACGGGCTTATTCATCCTTCAATGTTGTCCCTGACCACTTATTATAATCCAATGACAAGTGAACCTTTTAAAATTGTTGCGTTTCTACTCCCCACTTCTAATTGTGACTAAATCGGACCAAATAATTGACTACACCCACTCAGGATTTCGCATCTCCAGAGAGATTATTCTAGAAGAAATTCCAGGAGATCAACCGCACTCCTCTGACATGCTCATACCTTCATCGCCGCCACTCATCGTAAACAACCCACTGTCTGCACCACCATATCAGCTCAGGAGCGCTCCAGCAATCAACTGGAGCGCTCATCCAGCACACCAGCCTGCTATGGTGATGCCTCGCCTTCCTGTTCCTCCACTGCCTGTTGAATCTCCTGCACCACATCAACAAAGGATGATGTTCTTTGAAGATGGAGAGCCAGCATCTATGGTATGTAATTTGGTAACAGCATTGCATATATAGACTTAGACTCCGTTCAGGAACTTGAATCTGGCTAAGTTTCGACGAGATTTTGAACTTCAAATTTACTTAAGTAAGCTTGCTGGATTGCCGTTCAATGTGACTGATTACATGTCACACCTTGGAATCATATACAGTTATGCCCCCAATCCGACGCTTTCGTTATTGCGACCATCTTTGCAGCCAAACAACTCTAATGACGAAGAAGAACTCGAAAAAAATGACGGGATGCCACCTTGACAGAACCGAAAGATTGTTGTGTTTGGTCGCAGAGCGATGAGACGGCGTTGATGAACTATGTCATCGCCAACAGATCAAAAGGGGGAGATGGCCTCAATTTCGATAAGACGTTCTGGAATGATACTGCTGTGGAGATGGTGAAACAGCCTGTAATGCAAGGTGAGTCCTGCCACAGATATCACGCCGTATTCATCTGACTTCTGCCTTATTCTAAGGCACTGCAAAGACTGCAGAGGCATGTCAAACAAAATGGTCACGAGTACGTACATATTTCTACTGAGTGGCTGCTGGCAGTACTGATCTCTACTTTTCAGATTCACAAGTTGTATCAAGTCATCTACAAGATAGCGCACGCCTCTGGAATCTCATACAGTCCAGAGCTTGGCGCAAATATCGGACATGAATCAGAGATGATCTGGGCAGACTACACTAGGGTATGTTTTTTTTATCATTTCCTGTCATGCCAGTGTGCTAACTACATACATAGCACAACCCCCAAGCAAAGCCTTACAAGATGAAGGGCTGGCCTCATTATGAGGCGCTACATGGTATCATGTCAGCGCAACCAAGCACCTGGGTTGGTTTCCATGCGGGCATTGACAACGCATTAACACCCAGCGTAAGTGCCACTCCTGGGCCATCCAGTGCCAGTGACGTCATGATGGCATCACTGGAGGACGCACTTGACCGTGTGGAATTCAACGCTCATCCTACTACTGACAACAATAACGACACTATGCACGCTGAGCCAGGGACATCTGGTCCTCCTGTTGCACCCTTCATTCCCATCTCCATTCCCCCCACAGCTTCTACTCCTGTCATGCCCATCACGCCCATCACCCCCAACCAGTTTCAACATCATGCAAAGTCGCCCTGCTCCCTCCACTCCACCACAATCCTCCAAAGGGAAGTTGTCGTCAAAGTCGCAGTGTCTATCAATGCCATCAGCATTGGAAGGCTTGGGAGGAAAGATGGCTGATAGTATTGCTAATGCAATGACAGCATTTCAGGAGACAGTCTCCAGTCATTTTGTTGAGCCTGTCCCCCTCTGCAAACAAAAAGCCATTCTACAGGTACAGGATGAAGAAGATCTTGACGCACATGAAATTGGTCACTATGATTAATTTGTTTCAAGCTGATGTTTGTGTTGCTGATTTGTATCTCAACATTAAATGTGATATCATACGCAAAGTCTTTCTTGCACAGTATTTAGAGGACTATAGGAAGGCGAAGGAGCTCTAACTATGCTACAATTTGTTGTAGTACTAAATACATCATGTTATTGTTCTGGTGCTAACCATGCTTCTTCCTCCGCATCCAACCAGAATGGCATTTCTTCCTCTGCCACGAATGACTCATCTTACAAAAATTTGATACATTGAGAAAAGTGTTACAGTAAGACGAATAGTGCTACACTAAGAATTAGTCCTGCACTCCAGGTGGCATTCGGTTCCCCTCTTCGACGTCTCTCTGCAAGATAATCTAACCACATAGATTGTGCAAGTTAGGTCGCGATGTTCATGTGCACATGTCCTCGCAGCTTCAGTTGGAGGACCGTCAGCGAGCATACCGGTGTACTGAGGCCCCCACTCATCTGACTCAACGTGTCGATAGTCCAGTAAGTTGTTAGGGTTGTGGATACGGATTATATT